ACCTCCTGGGCATTATCTAGAGAAAACTAACAATTAAAAAGAATACATGCACCCCAACTAGTTCACAGCAGCACTGTTTACAATAGCCAAGACATGGAAGCAACCTAAATGTCCATCAACAGATGAATGACTTAAGATGATGTGTATGTGTGTGTGTGTGTGTGTGTGTGTGTAATCAAAATACATCATAAATCAAAGAACACAAGCCACTGTCTGGGAGAAGACATTTGCAGTGTAATCCTATACGTATATAGGAATACTACTCAGCCATAAAAATAATGAAATAATGCTATCTGCAAGAATATGGATGGACTTAGAGATTATTATACTAAATGAAGTAAATCACACAATGAAAGGAAAATATTATATGATATCACTTATATGTGGAATCTAAAATATGATACAAATGAACTTATTTACAAAACAGAGAAAGATTCACAGACATAGGAAAACACAAACTTACGGTTGCCAGTTCGGGATTAGCAGATACAAACCACTATATATAAAATAGATACACAACAAGGTCCTACTGTATAGCACGGGGAACTCTGTTCAGTATCTTATAATAAACTATAGTGGAAAATAATTTTTTTAAAAACAACATTTTTTAGAGTACAGGAGAATATGTAGGGAATATAGTAGAAAAGGGTTACTTAAATAAGTCATAAAAGCAAAGCTTATAAAGCAAGATTAATACATTCAATTACATTAATTTTTTTAAACTCCCATAAATCAAAATACATCATAAATAAAAAAACACAAGCCATGTCTGGGAGAAGACATTTGTGGTGCATGTAAGTCACAAAGTATTGGCAGGGAGGGTATAGCTCAGTGGTAGAGTGCATGCTTAGCATGCACAAGGTCCTGGGTTCAATCCCCAGTACCTCCATTAAAACAAACAAACAAACAAATAAATAAAACCCTAAATACCTCCCATCCCTCAAAAAAAGTCACAAAGAATTGATATTCAGAATAATAAAGAACTACAAATCAATAAAAAGAAACAACCCAACAGAAAATGGACAAGTGATATGAAAAGTCAGTTCACAGATGAAGAAATCAAAGTGGCCAATAAACATGTGAAAAGATATTCAACCCCATCAGTAACCAGGAAAATACATATTATAAAAACAATGGGATACATTTCATGTTTATCATGATGATCGGTTAAAGATTTATAAATCTGACAATTCCAAGTTATATTTTTGTATACATAGATACAGAAAATCATTGAATTTATTACAGTGGTTACCTATAGGGTGAAAGGAAAGAGATGCAATCAGGTAGGAGTACAGAAAAGTCTCAACTAGATCTATTATTTTTTTTAGATAGAAGACTCTGTGCCATAGATGCCACAATGGTGATATAAAGCCAAGGGTCTGGTGGGGTGAGAGGCAGTGAATGACTCTCTATTATGTATCTACTCTTTGGCATATATTCAGAATTATTCACAATAAAAAATAATAGTTTAAAGAAGATAACACAGATTTTTAAGGCTTCCAAATTCCCAGGCAGCATCTCTGAAGGCTCCAGGTTGATAAGGAGTGGCAGCATCAGACTGCAGTTCTGTGTTGAGGATGATCTGACAAGGAGTACAAGTAAGCTATTCCCTTTCACTGGCAGCCCCAGAAAGGAACCATGCCACTGCTAGCTGTGGCAGCTTCTGGTGAGGTGGGGAATGGGGATGACTTTGAAAGTGAGAGACGGTTAATAAGGATAGAGGAGAGTGATTTGGACATGGAATGCTGCTGTCCAGATAATACAGTCTGACGGTGCTTCCTAACCTTTCCAAGTCATGGTACACGTGGATAATAGTTGTCACACTGGAGTATAGGCTACCACCTTGGGGGTTCCAGCTCCCCCAGTACTTACATGTACCCCTGAGAGATGAGTGGATCAATACCTCACAAGTGTGTGTCTCACAATATCACACAGATTAAGCCTATTTGCAGTATTGTACACTCATGTGCCACCACACACCTTTTGAGAAGTTTTGGCCCAGAAGGTAGTCATTTAAAAATAGGGAAAATTATAAGCCATTCCAAACTCTGGTACTGCTTAACATTTTACAGTTCCACAGTCGTCCAAAAAGAGTGCACCAAGAGTCAAACTGTTCTGCTTGACAGTGCGTAGCAGTTAGGAACAGAAAGAACGGGCGCCAAAGAAATGCAGTTAAAAGGGTCTGAAAGTTCCCTTCTAAAGCAACTGAAGATAGATCAAGAACCCTCCCCAACTTATAAGTCAGCATCATATCAGGGTGTGACTGGGAGACTGGGATGTGACAGCAGGCAGTCTGGGTCAGCACATGTAGAACAGGGCAGTCACCACGGAGAGCAACTAACTGGACAGGACAAAGATAATCCCTCATCAGTATCTTAGTGGGAAGGGATTGGTAGCTCATACAACTGAGCCATTCTAGTTATGTTAGCTCATGATTTGGAATTTCTATATATGTTAATTACATATATGTTAAACATAGTTCATTCTGTGGGTTAGATTAAACATTTTCAAACCAGTTCATCTTTGTTTTTCTAAAATTCCAAATTCAAAGAGTTCTATCAGGTGGAAATACAGTAAGGGCACCTGAACTGGGTGGATCCACCTTACATTTGCAGCCATTGTCATATATCTCAGTTATACAGACTGATAGCCAACCTTTGTGCTAAGACAGTGCCTGCAGAGGACAATTTCTCAATCTCCTTTTAAGTGAGCCAACTGGTCCTGGATACAGCAACAGGCTTGAGGGAAGGCAGGGATGACATGGCACAGCTATACTGCTTGTAAAATACTGAAATCCATATTTATTGGTAATTGGCCAGTCCTAGAGCCCCTAACTCTGCTACGTGACCATTCTGCCACACCAGTCCCTTCCCCAAGACACCATCTCCCCACAGTCCAGTAACCGAAGTTCATGCCTCGCACAGCAGGAGGCCGCCAGGGCTATTAAATACTTTGAATGTCACCAATGGATGAAGATAAACCACCTTAACCACTCTTGAATGGTCATTAACCCTGCTGGCACCATCAGCCCCTTGGATTCCAAGAGAGAACAGCATCTCTTGTTGGCCAGTTTTGCCTCAAGTTCCCAAACCAAAGTAAAATACCTTCTGGCAAAACTAAACTGCTCAACTTCTTTCTAGGCTAGATGCCAGGCTTAGGAGAAAGAAAGGACCTTTTAATCCCAAGGCCACAGCTTTGTTGGGGAACTTGTCCTTTTTAATGGAGAGTGACAAGAGTTATCCTGACCCTCAGCACAGAAGACCAAACCTGGCCACTTCCCAGATTGGCCTTTCCTCATAAGCTGTCCTTTCATTGCATGCCATCTACTGGGAAGCTTCCCCATTCCTCAGGATTTTGAAAGTTATTTGTCAGGAGACCAGGGCATTTCCTTGGCACTTGAGTTCATCGAGTGATCTGGGGAGAACTTGGCCCTGGAACATGCAGCAGCACCAGAGTATCAGCCCTGCCATCTGCAGAGCCAAGAGAAGGCAGCAGAGTTGGGAAGGAGAAAAGAAACTGCCAATGGGATAGAGGATCAGGGGAGAAGGATCATTCATATTGCAACGGTTCTGCTATTCATTCAGGGAGTCAAAGGAAGAGGGCAGGAATTGCATTTGGACAGGCAGCCAAGCATCACTCTGAGAAATAAGGGAAAAGCCAAAGCAGAAATGACCAAACCTACTCACCGGGGCTGGTTATTGTCAGGAGGTCAAGCTGCCGCTGTTGCTGCAAAAGAAAACACATTGTGAGAGCACTGATTCAAGCCAAAGCCAAACTTGTTGCTTAGCAGGGCAGGGTGGACATGCAAAGGGGATATTCAGACTCGCAGAGCAGGGCACATTGTGGAGAATGTGGTCTCACTGGCAGTTCTGCAGGGAGGCCTCGTACCCTAGAGATGAAAGTGAATGGACGGCCTTTCTGGTCAGAGCTGAAAGGGCCTTAGAGGTCTTCCAGTCAAACCTATTAATATACTTACGGAAAATGAGGACCATGGCTTACCTGTGGCCACAAAGAAAGTCCCTTTTCAGACTCCCAGCCATGGCTCATTCCTCTGTACCAGGAAACCTCAGATTTCTTTTTGCTCACACTGACTGCTCTGGTTAAGTGTATGGTATCCTGATTATCCTCTTTGCCTTGGATCCTTAAGTCACTGTCACCCTCCTGATACTCCTTTCTAATCAAGATACTCCTGGGCTGGTTTATTTATTGAATCTTCTCAATAATGCTATAATTTCAATTACTGGTGATCAAACTATTCCTTCTCTAACTGAATCCTCATGTGTGTGTGATATACAACAGTCACAGAAAATAAGATTTGTCAGGTACACTAGGCCACATGGATGAATCTGCTTGTGTTTGGGGGCAACTGGCAGCCCCAAGGGCTGAGCTGATCAATGTCTTGTAGGCTTGCCCCCATCACACCACACTTATAGGGAATCTCTGTCCTGGGCTGGATGTCATGGGAACCTGAGGGTGGAGAAGAGGGTATTGGAGGCTGGGGATGGGGCAGTGGTGAGCAACTCTCTTACAGACTTAAGTCAGGATTTCTTAAGCCTCAGTCAACCTGTCTATTTTCTACACATGATTTTTCATTAATAGTACTAGAAATAATGTGATTCTTTTTCTTAGAAAGGGGTCCTAATAAACTTCACGTTGAGAACCATTGCTTCAGGATACTCACTGCAGGAGCTTCTGATTATCTGGCATTTCATCCAGTGGCTCCTTTGCTATACTTCACCTCATTTACATTTCCCTCTTTATCTTGCCTCTCCCCTAGAACGGCTTCCTGAAATTCTGCTTAAGCAGAAAGGAGTAGGCAGCTACATTGTTTGAGCGCCAGCTATAGGCCAGGCATGGTACCAGGCACTTTGATGTGTCACTTCTTCTCATACTCTTCTTGGCCATCCTGCATGGTTAGTGTCACACAGCAGAGGGACATGGGGTTCAGACAGGACAAATGATCTGCCTAAGACTACACTTCATTAAATGGCAGAGCCAGGATTAGAATTCAGTTAGTTCTGATTCTGGCTTGAAAGCCCAAAATATGATAATGCACATAAATCATTCAGCAAGATGCCTGGAACTCAACAGGTGCTCAAAAAAAAGAGCTATTTTATATTGATGTTTTATTATTATAGACCATGTGACCCTTGGTTTATAAAACCTGCCTTGCCCCTTTACACAGAATTATTGATACTAGGTCTCAAAGGCTCACCAGGACAGGAATACGCTCTGCAATGTCCCCACCAGTTGCGTGAAATGCTTCTGTTTTAGCCCTTCACTTGATGGGGAACTCACTTTTTCTCAGCTGGAGAGCTCTACTTTGATCAGGGTTAAATCCTGCTTCCTTATGACGCCATCACTGTTTCTAGCCGCCTCAGCCCACGATACAGTTTGGAGATGTGAAGAAGATCTGCGTCATCTTCTCTTATGGCTAAATAGTCCCAGTTCCTTCTTTTTTTTTTTTTCATAAACCTGGTCTCAAATCTCCTGGCCCTTGTGGTCCCCCTCCTCTTCCATTAACTTTGATCTGTCCCAGTTAAAACCTCTTCAAGCATCTCTCTACCTCTTGCTTTAATGACTTCTCAGGGCCCTAAAAGCAGGTCTGTATGCTATCAGAGCCTTCTCAGTCACACATCCCTCTTTTTCTGCCAGCTCATAACTCATTCCAGTTGACATTTTCAAGCAAACAGTGCAACTCCAAGATGTCACTGACCTACATTGTAAGTGCACATCCTAGTGCTGACATGAAACACACACCCACACATGCGGGCTCAAAGGAATGCTGGAGCCAGACTGCCTTCTTTCCCAAACACAGAACCAGGCCAGTAGTACAACTGGCTCAGGCTGCCTTTGCCAAGGCCAACCTGTCTGGCTTGGCACTTCCCTCATGCATGAGGAAAGAATACGTGTCCTTCTGTTTTTCCATAAGCTTGACTTTGTGATGATTGCATTGGTAAAGGAGGTCTATTTATCTGAAAAGTGTCTATTTTCTAATTAAGAGCTATCTCTAAATGGTGATTCTATGTCCAGGGTCCAGGAGAGAAAAAAGGGGAGAAAACCTGACAGGAACACAGACAGACCTGGACTTGTGTCCTAGCTCCTCTCTGTGCCTTTGGATAACTTGCTATTTGTCTCTGGCCTCAAACATCACATCTCTAAAATGAGTGAGTGAGACTGAAATACGGTCAGGGACTGAGTCAAATGCAGCCAGGTACTGTGCTTGTGGGCTCCCTCTTCTGGTATAGACAGTTGCCTGAAAATCCCTGTAGCTAAGACCCTGGGGGCTCAAAGGACAGAGTCAGAATTTAAGAGACCAAATTTTAAGCTATGCTCTCATACTGCAATTTTCAGCGTATGTTTGTCTTCCTTACTAGCCAAGGGGCATTGTAAGGGCCTGGAACATCTATTACTCAGTTTATGGCACACAGTGGCCCTCACAGTGGCATTTGCTAAACTCTACTGAACCCTTCCTAGAACCCACATTATTCTTTCAAACCCCCATGCCTTTGCTCGTGCTGTCCTCTCTGCCTAATCTCGAGATCTTCACGGAGCTGCCTGCCTCCTCATGTCTCAAAACCTCCATGAGGCCTTCTCTGCACATCAACTCCCAAACCTAATCTCCTTCTCTCCTTTCTTCAGAACAGAGTATTTCACCCTTTGTCCTTCCAGTACATCTTATAAAACCTACTTTTTGTATCACGATCTGTCTTGATTATTTGTTTCCTTCTCTGTTTCTCTCATGAGGTCCTTAGTGGAGATAAGACTGTCATTTCACGTCTCTATTTCCAGTGCTCAGCACAAAGACTGAAAGGAATGTTTGATGTCGTCCAGTTCAAATGATTCAACTATTTCATCATTCCCTCTGCAATGACTCTGTTAGGTAGGAATTCATCACGCATGGAAAGTAAGCATGCTCTCTCCTCTCCAGGACTTTCCCTCTGCCACATCTGTGGCGTTTCTTGCTTTTATGATTTTGCTCTCACCATGTCTGCAGCCAGCAATACTGTCTATCTGCCTCCCCTGAAGACCTTCCTTCCTCCACTTCCACCCACAGGATCACTGTTTCTCCTGGACTCGAACAGTTCCTGCTGTCTGTACCACACCAGTGGTGATGAATTAAATCTAACCTGGTGACAAGCCCCTTTAACCTACAGTTCACTGACATATGTGTGCACCATCTAGTGGTCCAAGTGGACTATTGTTTTAACCTGTAGCTCCAAAGATAGGATTGCAAAATCTGCATGTCCTATTTGCAAATCAAAAATGAAAGTGTATGTTCAAGAATCACTGTGCAATAATTTTTACCTAAGAAATTAAAAGAGAAAATTTTCATCACACATTATGCTAGTGTGCCTAGCATAATCATTTAGAAACTGTATGGCACTTATTAAAACAGAGCACATGATCTGTGGGATTTGACCAATCATATACAATCAGTTACATAAGAAGGGATCATGGTAGACATAAAGAATTAACAAATTACTTTAATTAGTTACCAAGGGGGAGACATAAGGGCCTTTTATATGGGGATGATGTATTATCTAACCTCCTGAATGGCAGAATGTGCAATGTTCATTGGAGGAAATGAAGTCAGCTAGCAAGGTAATAGGTTTGGTAGGCTGACAGGGCCTGCTGGCTGTGGGCTGAGCAGTTGAATCACTAGCTGACTGTAAGCTACAGTCTCAGGAAGGCAGGGCCTTCAACATATTGGGTAGTGACATTGTGTGTATGTGTGTGTGTGTGTGTGTGTGTTTTGAGGAGTAGGGGGAACATTCCTCCTCAGATAAAGAAATTCTACACCTACACAGGGGGAAATGTGCCTGGATGGTATTCCACAGACTCCTGGAGGAGTGTGGGTATGCCAGGGCTGAGTCGATTAGAAGTTGATGTGTGGACTCCTGGCTATGTACGAGCCCTGTGCCCAGCCTTCCCTGGTAAAAGTGGTGCCTCATGGACATTCAGAAGAAATCCATTTCTCTACTTAACCAGCGTGTGGTGGATGCAGGGTTAGGACTCCATAAAACCATGGGGGTTGGAGGTTCCAAGGTCAACAGGAACAATCTCTGAATCTGGTGCCAACCAAGGATGGCAGGAGCATCTACACTGGATGATTAAAGAATTGTCTACCAGCATTCTTGCTCCAGGGGTTATCCACATTCCACCATCCATTCAGTGGAAGCTGTTTTTTTAATACCATGTCACTTTACCTCTGATAGCCCCAAGGGTGAAAGTACTGAAAGGTGGGTCAATTAGAAACTTTATCCAGAAATTTTGGATCTTTTGTGGGTTCAATTATTCTTAGTGAAAACTACTGTCATCCTAAGTTAAAGATCCTTTAAAAGTTTTGTAATTATGAAAACAACATACTTGTTTTTGTCACTTTGCAAATTTCCAGAAAATTTAGAAAGTGAAAATGAATGAAATCCCACCATTGAAAGAGAACCACAGTTAGCATAATTTTGGTGTATTTTTTTGTCATCTTTCTTGCTTGTGTTTATGTAATGAGATATTTATACATAATAAATAAAGCATGTTTTAATCTTGTACAGCATTATGTTATTTTTTTTGTCCCAGGTTGAGTCTTTAGTTTGAAGTATAAGAATGTAAGTCACATATATTTATTGTTATAAATAATATAAGCTTTTGTTGCACAGGGAATAAAACCTGCAACATTGCAAACTTCCTTCAACAGCCACTCCCATAACACTTGACACCAATTTTGC